GTCAAGCATGTTTTTATTTCTTCACGATCGGGTCTGTTAACAACATGGCAAGCTTTGGACAAGCGTTGTACATGGAGAACAACGGAGTTGTTTTTCTTGGCAGGCCGGTAAGCGCACCAAACCTTCAAATATGACTATAACTTCGACGATACAATTTTAATCAGACTATAAATTATATTTGCCATCATGAATGGCGTTTTCTTGGTTGTTGTGCAGCGTCAAATCGAAGAATCTCGATGTATGAGTTTAAACTTTTTCACTCATGTGGCCCCTTTGGAGCGCTTATTGGATATGTGATGATTATAACCATCTCGAACTCGTCTCGTTGCCAATTCACTATCCCATATTCAACGCACGCACGTGGAATAATAGTAATAATATCATAGGTGACGAATTACTCCTTAATATTTGCGCGAAATTTCAGCGTTAATTTGTAATTTCACATGTGAAATTACAAAATTGCCATGGCAACCCTTCCGTACGTCTCAGTGTCAAGATGGCGACGAAGTTTTAAAATGCCGTGAATGAAGATGTCAGGGCACAAAAAGACGCTTTAGAAAACCTAAACACACAAGAGAACATCAAGAAGGATTCTAACAGGTATTTTGCCGAAAAAGTCTGAAAAATTCTGAACTTTATAAGCCAAATTTAAGCTCTAAAGATTTGAGAGAGTTCTCGATCGATACGATCCAGGATAAACATGTCAAAAATCCAAGATAAACATTGCTAACGCAATTCGTCACCCATGATATTAATGGATAATCAAATGGAATAGTCGTGAAATTACGGAATAATTTCACGCGCGTTTTGTCCAAATCCTAATAATTTCCTGAGCCTTTCCCTAATTTCACTCGTCACCATTTGATTACACATACTAAAAAACCTTGAGAAAAATTTCATTTAATGGTTTTATCAACAGCCTCGCAGCTTAAGCTTGAACCAAGCTTTATCCAAGGAGTTCGTGATATATATGAAACAACTTATTACTGAACACCACGTATAAATAGTAAGTGCTCCTAAAATTAAACAAACAAGGGCACGAAAAAAATGACGGTTCCTTACATTTTAAATTCGGAAATACGTAATTAGAGGCCACATCAGCTTTTTCTTTCCACGAAGTGGTCTGTCTGTGTTAAATAAATCTACTTTGTTTCAAGTTTCTCACAACGTTTCTTGATTTCATCACAGATTTTGTCTCGCTCTATTAGTTCCTGAAAAAAAAAACAAAGTTTGAAAGAATACTGAGCGAACGAATGGATAAAAGAAATAAAGAACGACAGAGTCGCACTACTTTTTAAAAGAATCGCACCTTGGTCACAACAAATTTGTGAAGGCGTTCTGCCTCGCTACTTCCTTCCTAGCGAAGGTATAATTTTATGGTTAGTGGGGGAGGGGGTGGGGGTAGTTTGCAAATTCACAGAAGTTTAACCCTTTTTAGTAAATTTGCCATTGTCCAGACCAGTCCCGTCGTTATGAGAAAATCTCACTATTCATCAGGACTGTCCAGTTAAACCAGTTTATTCCTGTACAGTATACACGGCAGTGATTTGTTTGCAAAAACAACAACAAAAAAAAAACGAGAAAAGCCTGCCTCATTTTCAGCCAGTTCTAACTTTCGTTAAGTGCTTTACCGGTTAACGAGACTAAGAGCTTTCTTGTTTGCGGAAGACCTTTAGGATCACCATGAACGCAAGACCACAGCCCACTTTGTCCACTGTTAATTACCCAGGCCTTCCCCATTTTTAAATAGTTCTATTGTACAAGTGGTACGACTAAGACCCTGTTTACATGGAGTGGGGGACCCCGGTCTAGTGGGGTTGGTTTCTTGTGTTTTCACGCTCTGGCGGACACAAAACAAAAGAAACCTACCCTACTAGAGCGGGGTCCCCCACTCCATGTAAACAGGGTCTAAATAAGCTATCACCTCAACAGAACGAAGTCTATTTACAGTTATCTTGAACAGTTAATTAAGAGGTTCAGTTTTGGGGGCATACATACATGCATATTTTCGTGGAAAATTCTGGCGCAGTAAGGCAACGAATTTTCGATTTCACGGACTTAAAAATTTAAATCAAACAAAATGAAACTACAGAAGAATTGCTAGAAAACGACGGTGAGACAGGGGAGGGCAACTTTCTAAACATGGGTGCTATCCGGCTTATAAACCACAGTGATGGCGACTGAATAACGTTATTACCTCTTTCCTTGTGGTCATATCTCTGAGCTTTACGACACCCTCTTTAAGTTCATTGTCTCCAATCACCACACAGAAAGGAACTAAGTTATCTTCACAGAACTGGAATTGGGTCAGCATCTTTGGATTTTTCCGGTAAAGTAACTCAGCCTAGGGAAAGAAAAACCGGAAGATTTTTTTAAAAAAATATTACAAAACTAAGCAAGCCTAAAAATATAATGAATAAATCACAGCAAATGCAATAACGTCAGGACCCTTTCCCGACCAAGCGTGCCATATGGCACTCTTCTGTACCACCCCTCAAATTCCCGAGAGTGCCGTATGGCACTCTTTCGTATACTCGACTCGAGAATGATTCTAACCAATCAAACATTTATTTCTTTTGTTTTAGAAGTTCTATTCTTCTATTGTGTTATAACCAATAGAAAAACAGTAAAGGCTTGGTTTGCCCTTACTATCAGGGATGGTGTTCACACAAATTTTTTAAGAATTCGATGGTTGAAATTTCAACATGTTGACGTCGTAATGGCGAGTCAGATAGCGAGGGAGAAGAGTTTCTGGGCTTTGATGTAGAACGTGAATCACAGAGAAGTAATGTAGAATCGGAGTCCGACATAACAGTTTTATCTGTAAATACGGAGGACTTATCAGATTTTAGTGTAACCAGATCAGAAAGTGGTGAAGAAGCGAATGAGTGGAACTCAATTCCTGATCCGGTAGTAGTAAATCCATTGGTGGCAAATACTGGTATTGTACGCGACGTTAGGAGATTTTCCGTACTTGATTTCTTCCGTTCAGGGAAGAAAATTTCCATCAAATTGCCGAAGAAACAAATCGGTATGCCCGCCAAGCCATGGAAAGCAATCCTGATCGTTCGTGGTACGAAACAGACGCTGAAGAAATCCGCGCGTACTTTGCCTTGAACATTTTCTATGGCATCAAACAACTGCCAGATATTTATTCGTACCTGCATTTGAATGATAAGAGAAAAAGTTACCACGTGGTCATGCGGACCACGACAAATTATTCAAAGTGCGTCCTCTTCTCGACTCGGTTGTAAATGCTATAAAAAGCCAACTAAAAATGCTGCCATTGACGAGCCAATGATTCCTTTTAAAGGAAGACTTTCAATGAAACAGTATATGCCGCTCAAACCCGTAAAAAGAGGCATCAAAGTGTGCGAATGCGCCGATTCCTCAAATGGCTTTGTTTGCGACATAAATGTTTACACGGGAATACAACGCGATGGAAATCCTAAACAAGGGCTCTGATACCGTGTTGTCCATAACCTCACAAGAACTTTAGTTGGCAAAACCACCATGTTTACTTTATTCAAGCAAAAACATTAATAGAACTAAGTCGCGATTTCCTGATCTTGAAAGCTTTAACCTTGCCAATTTCAATCTCCTCCATTTTGAACTATTTTTTGCTGAACTTTCTTCAAACGGGGAACGGGAAAATGAAAAATGGAAACAAAACAGAGAATGGGAAATGAGGTTGTTGATAATAGTAGCGTTTTGGAAAGGGTTTGATCCCTTTTTCATGTTCCCTTTCCTATCCCTCGTTTTGGTCACGTCAGTGCTCGATCTTAACGGCCGTTTCTTTGTATCGTACTAAAACGTGCTAAAAGCATTGTAACAACGAAGAATTGCCAAAGGCAAACGTTTCAAAAACGAACAGGTAAAAAGTGCTAGGCATTCTCTTGCTGAATAATAATCCTTTCAATGGTGAGTCAAAGTATGTCGAAACGGCAACAACTGTAAGGCTCAGTCTACTCTTTCTTTGGGAGAAAGCAATCATCAGATGTTAAAGAAATTAACACAGCATCTGAAACACCTGCTCCGGCCCAAAAAAACACCCAAGTTCCAGGAGGCATGGAAGGATAAATACAAATGGCTGAGGTTTGACGAAAAGGAGAACAAAATGTTCTGCGAGTTTTGTAGAGAATTCTCAAATAGGAACGAAAAAATTTGAAAATGATAAGAGTGATCAGTAGTTTTGCTGATGGACCAGTAAATTTAAATCCTACTGGTCCTTCGGAAGACCAGACCCAAAAGTTAATTTAGAGCACTGAACGTCCCCTCATTGCTGATTTTATATGTTATCAAACTTCTTTTTTTGGTTTCATTCATTCAATAGTTGCAATAGCCTAAAGTAGCACCGCCACCACTGGTATTCACGGGAAATGACGTCTGAGAAACGAGCGGAGACATTCCACACTAATGACGTATTAGAACCCAAATTTCCCTCGCTGCACGAGAATCAGAAGCACTATCCAGATGTGGGTAGTCACACGTTATCAGTAAGGAATTTCTGCGCTTGTTCCTCAGACGTCATTTCGACGTAAAACCAACGGTGGCATCGTGAAATATCGGCTGTTTTCTTAGGCAGTAGGTGCAAAAGAATGACTCCACAGAAGGAGAAAGAGCTCCTAAAATATCAGCAATAATTTAGTACCTTAATGCCCGCCTTCCAAAGCTGGCTTGCCAGCTTCAGGCGTTCTTCTAAGAAATTTTTCTGTCCTGAAGCCACCAAGACTTGCGTCTTAGTTGTTCGCACTTTGCCTCCATTTGCCTGCAAAACATAATTTACACAAAAATTTAATGTGCTTCCTAGAAATTAGCACATTACCAAACAACTGGCGAAATTAATTCACAATGTACCTGTGCTCTAGCTTCTAGAATGGAGAATATTCTTTCAATTCCTATGCTTACACCAACACAAGGAACCTCAGAAAAGAAAACAACATATTTAATTGCAGTGTAATATTATGGGAAATCAACCTCGTAAATGTGCAAAGTCTGTTGAAAGTGTACCTTTCTCCCTTTGGAGTCAAACATTCCAACAAGGTTGTCATAGCGACCACCACCTGCCACTGATCCTACTCCTACAGGCTCACCTGATCAAAACAAAACACATGTAACTGAGGGATAAACATCGCCTAATCATAAAACATTCTTTGATCGCTTTGTTTAACATTCAAGTTGCGTTGATTATTATTTTAGGTCATTTAGCCATCATTTTCCTAAAATGATTATATATTATAATCACTGTTTTTTCATCTTTGGTAAATTTCCTTAGGTCAAAGCTATTATTGTGAAAGGTTTTAACCCAGGAGTCATTTCCAAAGTAGGTTCAGTTTGATCGTCCGGGTGAACGTAGTTCTGAATAGGACTGTTGTTGTTGACAGTGACCGACGTTTCGACAACCTGTGCGGTAGTCATCTTCAGAGTACAAACGACTTATTGACGAGATCAAGCAAAACTAAGTACGAGAGAACGACTGGAGAACTGACAATTTGACTAACAACAGACGACTGTTTAACTGTGACAATAGACGGATCGAAACGCACCAATTACTGATTAAGAGTCTTCATAGCCAATAACATCACGGCTTAACTGACAGACGACCAATAACATCGCGACGTAATTCACCTTCTGAGCGTCAGATTTCACATGTAGTTTCACGTGACTTTTGATGACCTTTGTTATAAACAAACCCGCAAAGTTCGGACATCTGTTCTCTCTCAGATACTGTACATGTATACGAACTATGAGTCGCTACTTAACTTATATGTTTTCCATCCCTTTCGCTGTTTGAAAATCGAATAGTTTAAGGTTCAAAATGTCAAAGCGGAAGATCTGGAGTGACTTTAACCGCCTCGAGTGTGGTAAAACAGAAAAAATATTCGCCGGTACATGGAGTTTCAACAAGCGCGTAGAAATCTCCTCTTCAGTTGAAAGAATGGTTTTGCAAGGTGCATCTAAACTTGAAGAAAATGAAACTAATGATGCAGACACATTTATAATTCATTATACGGCAGTGTGCTTACATTTTCGTCTCGACCGCCTATTATAAGCTATGCTTATCTTGGCTGAAGTATAGTACACTGCCTCCTTTTGTCTCTACATGATTAAATATAAATCCAGTGTATGTTCACTAAAGCCTGCACTGTTTTGCTACAGACATCTTGATTCAACCTCAGTAAGTAAATGCCATCAACATAACCGTCATCAAGTGTCGAGTCCCTGTTTGCCGTAATATACAAATTGAAAAGGAAAATGTCAAACAACAAATAGCCAAACGGTCTTTGTAGCGAAAATGGATTGGGAATTAATAGCGTGTGATCGCGTGTGATCATAAATTTTGAAATGTGAATTATGTAGGTATCATGAAATTTGCCTTCATCACCGGTTTTATCTCTTTCGAGGTTTAGTTCCAATGTTAACACCATTTCAGCTGCTGAGACCGGAATTTCCATTGCAGGCACTCCTCGTTCCTGCCGTAACTTTTGCCATGTTCTTGGCCTTAAAATCGCTCTTATTCTTCTGCTCAGACATTTTTTAACCTTAAACGTTTCGAGTCTCAAACAGCGAAAGGGAAATAACATTTATAAACTAACGCAAACTTGAAATAGCGAGTCTAGTTCGTACAAGTACAGTATGTGGCAGAGAACGAATGTCCGAACTTTGCGGGTTTGTTTACAACAAAGGTCGTCAAAAGTCACGTGAAACTACACGTGAAGTCTGACGCTCAGAAGGTGAATTGACCAATCAGATCAATAACCAGAGTATAATATCATCAACTGACGTGATACAACTCACTTTGACTCTGACGATGACTACGTTCACCCGGACGATCAAACTCAACCTACTAAACCTATTATTGTTGTCTTAGTTTCCCTTTGAAAATCAAGGAACAACGAAAAAAAGTAACCATATAAACGCCCTATAAATGCTGGCACCTTAATGCAGCCAACAAACACATTGTAAAATCCCACGCCGTACATTTGTACTTTTGACCTTTTTATATATGGCCACTAGAGCCAAATCAAAGCCCAACTATCATTAACTCATTAGTAAAAGTTTAAGAATGATTTTACCATGGTGAATAATCAAGGTTTGTAACATTGCCGTGTGTTTTTAGGAGGGGGGATATTGTCCATGGTATACAGCTGTCAAAGGTCCAGGAAGGTAGAATCTGACAAAAACAGTACAATGTGTTCAGCATGTTACATTTACCTTTTTCATTCTTGCCAAGGTCAGGTTGCTCTCCTGTTAATACTGCTTCATATATTACCCCAGTGTAATAATCCAATCCTCTTGCTAAACTTAGGTCAAATGATACCTAAAACACAATAATTTAGATGCTCCTTTTACACCAACATGAAACACAACCACAACAACACACAAGATTTAACCTAATTACCATTCTTACTATTCTTTTACAGTCATAATTTGTACTGTCAAAAAACTAGTAATTCACAGCACTAATTCACAAACAGGCAGGGGTGGGGGAGGTGATACTGGTGAGTCATTCTGAAGGACAGCTAAAATACTATAATAAAATGATGCACTTATACTACCAATGAAAACAGGTAGACCAAGAATTTGGAGATATGCGTGACAGTTGATTTTGGCTTTGCCCAGACACGTTGACAACTTAGGTCATGTGGCTTTTGTTTGTCAAACCAAAAAGGTGAACTCCCTTGGTCACATTCCTGAACGTTTGGTGGGCCAAATATAGGTGGAGATAGGCCTGGTCAAATAATGGTGTTATATGTCAACCAAAAAGCAGAAATTTAAGGAAAGTTAATCGATAAAATTTCTTTCGGTTGTTGCCTTCTAGCGCTATATATAACCTATGTGCGAACAAAGAAGCCAGCAACGAGAAAAGCATGCGAACACGTGAGTTTACCTTTTTGGTTCGACAAACAAAGCCACGTGACCTAAGTCGTTAACGTCTGGTGCCAAAATCACGGTGTACCTGTTTAGGTAGTATCACTGTATGTTCAATAAGACGAACATTGCAAAAAAATTGAAAGATGAAAAATGTAGATGAAATAATATTAAATTATCAATAAAAAAAATTGTGGACGAAAAATGAAAGTTTGTGTGCATTGCTACTGAAAGACTTGTACCAAATGGGTGTTTCTAACGACTCAACTGCTGAGCCATCAATTTACGGTAAAGAATTTGTTATGACAACAGTCTACATGTACATAGTACTGTTCCAACCTTATCCTTGATTTCAAACAATTCAATGTATGTGAGCAGCAGTCTCATGTCCTCCAAACCAGCCTCGGCACTTTTGTTCTTGCTAAGAGCAGGATCCTGCATAAGACTTTCCACAAGTTCCATTCCACCCTTAAGCTTTACATACTCCCCTATCCTATCTGCTGCATTAGGCTCCAGGCCTTTCTCTCCCACCATTTCGGCCTTGACTTCTTCCCAAGGAAGCTATAATGATATTGAAGGTACAAAAAAGGGTGCTTGTAAATATTACAAAAGGTCTGAAGAAACTTAAATAAAAACTCACTTTTCTGTAAGTGTATATTAATGTTTTGGCAGGGATCAGTGGTGTATATAAAAAGAAATGGAAGTTTTGTGAACGAATTAAGTGTGACTTACAGAGCATCAGTAACTTCAACACTTGAATTATCGGTACATGCATGTACATGCTTTACCAGTACATTTATGTACTTTTTCCAAAGTTGTTTCTGCTGATTTTTTCCATGACAGGAAATCATTAATTTAAATAAGTTGTAAAAACTTTACGTTCATAGCTTTTAATACAATCTTATTCAATAAGGCTAAACTCACCTTATCAAGTTTATCCACAGCAGAACAAATGGACCTAAATTTCTCCTCAGGCACTCCACACACGGCAAACATGCCATCCAACAACTGTCTGTGATTAACCTTAAAGTAATCCATAACATTGACATTAGACATGCATTTATATTCAATCATGTACATTGCAGACTAACAAGGTCAAAATGTTCAGTGATAACAGCAGAGCTTGCATGCACTTGAAGCCCAGTAAACCAGTAAATATAAAGTGTTTTAGTTGTGTAATAAAAGATGTGAACCTCTGTAGCTAAATAAAGGACTATCCATAAATCCATGCTGCCATGTACGGTAAATCAATGTGAAATGTCGCAATTTCTAAAACATATAAAGCAACCATGTTAAAATGAGGGTCTATGCTATATTTTGCCATAAACCATTCACAATTAATTGGCAGCTGTCCAAATGAGGCATCCATAGACTTGTTTCACATGACCAAATCATGGTCTCAAGTGCAAAACCCATCAAGGTCAAAATTATCCACTAGCCAGTTCATAACTTCATAACTTCATATTTTTATATTTTTCCAATCACATTAACATTGCAGACTCAAGTGTTAAAAAACAAGAAGGAAAGTACACCAAGTTAACGTTTGCTGCAAAGACTTCTGGGACTGTTACTAGGGACAAAAAATAATAATAATAATTTTATTTATATAGCACTAAAATCCAATAATTGTCCAAAGCGCTACCTAATTACAAAAAAAAAATATAAAAAATCTAAAATCTAAAATATCTACAATATACAATATAATTCAAATATAGCCTAAGTTATCTACTATATAAATCAAAAACATCTCAAAACAAAAGGAATCTCATAACCTATATGCTAACTTAAATAAAAAAGTTTTAAGGGATTGCTTAAAAGTTGCCACTGAAGCACATTTCCTAATCTCTAGAGGTAAATCGTTCCACAATTTAGGTCCTGCAATAGAGAAAGCTCTGTCTCCATATGTTTTCAATCTGCTTCTCGGAACCACTAAGTATTCTTTACATGAAGAACGCAATGACCTAGAGTATGTTTTAAAATTCAAAAGGTCAGAAATATAAGAAGGTGCAAGGCCATGAAGGGCCTTGTATACCAATAAAAGGACTTTAAAAGTTATTCTAAACTCAACTGGTAACCAATGAAGATTAATTAAAATAGGAGTTATATGAACATGCCTCGGTGTCAATGTGACAACACGAGCTGCAGCATTCTGAACTGCCTGTAGTCTAGCTAACAGATACTTAGGAAGGCCATGTAATAAGGAATTACAGTGATCAAGTTTCGAACTAATAAATGCATGGACTAAGATTTTACATGTATCTTGGCTTAAGTACTTGCGGATTTTAGCAATATTTCTCAAATGATAGAATGATGATTTACAAATGTTCTTAATGTGCTCCTCAAAACTAAATATGCTATCAAACTGAACCCCTAAATTACGAACAGAGTCACGAGGTGCAATGCACTCAGAACCAACAGTAATGTGACCGATGTCAGGCATAGGATGGAATCTGGAACTGATGACTACAAGGTCCGTTTTGTCCTGGTTTAGTTTAAGATAGTTTCTTATCATCCATTCATCAATGTCCATCACACAGCATTCCACTCTCAACTTCACTTGTTGGATGTCATTCAAGCTGGTAGATTTAAAGGTAATATATAATTGGGTGTCGTCAGCATATAGATGGTATGATAGTCCATGATCATTTATTATGTCCGCAATAGGTGATGCGTATAACAAATACAACAAAGGGCCCAGAACTGATCCCACCACACTTCAATGTACGTTGTGAAGAATGACTATTCCCAACTTTAACAAACAGCTTACGTGAAGACAGGTATGATTTCAGCCACTTAAGCACAGTTCCTTGAAAACCAAAACAAGTAGACAGCCTTGTCACTAGAAGAGTATGGTCCACCGTATCAAACGCCGCCGACAGATCCAAAAGTACCAGTATGACCGACTCATTACGATCTAAAGCACAAAGAATGTCATTTTGAACCCTCAGTAGAGCCGTTTCAGTGGAGTGAAATGACTTGTATGCGGATTGAAACGTTTCCGAAAGACCATTAGATGTAATATAGTCTGTAAGCTGGACACATACCGCTTTTTCCACAAGCTTGGACACAAACTTCAAATTAGAAATAGGTCGAAAACTTTCATATTTAGTGAAATCAGCACTATGTTTCTTTAAAGTCGGTGTCACAGCTGCAATCTTCAAGACATCAGGCATAACTCCAGTAGATAAAGATGTATTCACTATGTCAGTCAACACAGGAGTTAGTAAATTGAAACGTTCCTTCATTACCACTGCAGGCAGAGGATCAAGTACACAGGATTTATTAATAGATCTCAATGCAAGTCCCTTGATGTCTTCGTAACTGACATTAATAAAGTCTGAAAACACAGAGTTACATTCCACGTAGTTACCAAGAGTCACTTCATTAGCATCATTACCTTGCGCAGAATTCTTCTCTATTAGTGTGGCATGGATACGATCAATCTTGTCAATGAAATAATCAGCGAAAGAATTAGCTAGTGCATCACTACAAGAAGATGGATACCGTGCAGTTGATTGCTTTTGTAGTAGTTTTGATACTGTATTAAACAAAACCCGTTGATCAGTTGAGTTTTCAGTAATGATGGTAGTGTAGTAAGAGGATTTCAACGACTTGATCAAATTGGCAAATAGCTGACTGGCACTTCCTCAGTAACACTTATATGCCAACTCTCATGGATTATCTGGGAGACTCCTGGATATGGCACTGATCCCCTGCTCTCCTGTACAGGTCACCAAATCTTCCAGAAAAAAATTATCTCTTGAGCATTTCTGTGCTTTAGTTTGAAAATTAGCGCATTTGTTTCTCAATATTCGAATTATTTTTATTTGTAGTACAGTTTCAGGGGCACTATTGGACGTAATTAGTCACTAACAAAGATTTTTTTGTTTACTTATTAAAATGTTGATTGCAAATTGGAAAGTATGTACTTCATGTAAGACTTCATATAATGTCCTACGCCATTCCAATGGGGGACTGCGTTGATTTATCAAGGGGGGCCCGTTGACATTTGGGGGTTGAGAGTAGGGGGTAGGTCAAAAGAGAGAGTCTCCAGATTTTAGATTTGCAGAGGTTGACATCTCTGGTAACGATCCCAGAATTAATAATATTATTGTGGCACGCATTTCTGTTCAGTTCCCTTCTTGCTTCTTAAGTGTTGAATTATCAAAATTGGGTTCCAACAAATGAAATATGTTTTACATGTAAGACTGAACAAAATAAGCACAAATAAGTACATTCACTTTTAACCTTCCTCATGTGTGCTGCCTTTTTGAACTCTTGTGACATCATTTGGAAAAATAAGTACAGCTGTAGTATTAGAACTTCTGTACATTAAATTCTGCATTTCTAATATTTAGGGGAAAAAAAGAACTGAACTTCACACTTCCTCTTTGGTAATTCTTTTAAGTGCTTTAGGAAGAAATCACCATCATAAACTAAAATTCTCACCTTTATTGTAAAATCTCCAAGGCTTAAATCTGTAAGTATTTCAGACACAATTTTTACACACTCTGCATCAGGAATCATAGCATCATACTCTCCAGCAATGTCAATGTCCTGGAGATGAAAAATGAAAAACCAAATCAACAATGAAGTTAGCAGTATTTTGAAGATACAGATGGGTACAGTGCCTGTTTATATTCACTGATGCACCCATGGACAATAACAGAAAGACACAAAGTCATCTCCCAAAGTTTGACCAAACCATGGTCAAACATTCAAAAAACAACTTTTGTCTATTAAACACACTTAAAAATTTAAACACAATACCCTGATGTTTTCAACTAAAAGTCAATTTTTTCATGCGTGTCTACCTACAAAGCACTTTCCTTTTTAACGTTTTTTTTTCATGTACTACTATAAGGTTGGTAACTTTGGGTCACTCTTTATAATATTTCACGGTACAATCATGCACCTCAACTGGAGTTTCACAGACACTGTAACAAAGAACCTTGCCCCTTAAATGTGAGCTCAAAATAATCTATACTACCAGTAAGCTAACAAAGGCCATGAGTAAGATTTTAGAATGCCAAATGTAACTGACTTAAGACATGCAGGCAAGATTATTTTACACTCAGCATCAATCCCGGTCTATAGGATCCAAAATAATGAACCTATCAGGTAGGTACAGGCATTTAATGTTATTTACAGTAATCCTAGTATAATCCAGCATTTTAGAGTGAATTATTAAAACAAGCATGAATACAAGTGAAACAGAACAAGCTCAAGAATGGAAAATGCTGATCTGTGTACATGTACTTGTTCTTTTGCTTGCATCATGGTCTTCTTTTAGGGTGAAACAAACAAGGACTTTGATCCTTGTGTGCATCCTTGGTCTTGTGCTAGTGTTACTAGTGAAACCACAAAGCATAAGAAAAAAAGAAACTGAAACCCTCTTATTATGACCACCAAAGGGCCATGAAGATCTATTCAGGCATATAAATGAGGTTTTCAGAAAAAAATATCAGTTTTGTTTTGGTATTTGGTCCAATGGATGTAGGTCCAACAAGGTGGTCATGGTAATGGCACATGGTCATAAAGCTTGGTTTCACTGAACATGTGGTTCTTTTTAATAATCTTAAGTTAAGGTGATTCCCTGGTTTTGCATTGCGCATCTCTTACTACGCACAACAAGATGGCCTCCGTAAAAAAGAGCTTGTGAAGTAACATTATTAAAATGAAGTTGACCGAAGAGAGACGCTATTGCAATTTTTGCTTGCGGTTGTTTCTTGCCGAGGTGAGACTCACTGTGGTGGGAATGTGCATAACGTAAGCAGTACGCGTGTTGCTGAGTTAGATTGCCTCACGGAGAACCTCGATAGTGGATGTTTAATTTGTGCTTATTCACTTTGATTTTCATTTAAACGCTTTCTTTATCACATTGTGTCCTAAATGTGATATCTCGATGTAAATTCTGTAAAAACGGATTTTTTAGTACTTTCTTCCTCCTTTCACATACATTCTGTTTTGAAACTCGCCCCAGTCCTCTCTCAAAAATCAAGGAAAATGCATTTGGTGTGCACTTTCTGCAGCTCTACCGCAAAAACGAGTACGGTGACCCCCATTTTTTATTTCATGATTTTAATAAGGACAGTGCTTCCTTTCGGTGAGAAAAAAATTGCCACAAATCTATGTTCAGTTTTTTGGCAATTTTACTAAATTGTACGGATTGAGCTACCACGTGTCGAATAGCGCGTGTCCAATTTAATTCTACTTTGGAGCGTAAAGTAAAAACATGGGCATTAAAAGACATTTTTATGGTACGTAAGTGGATAAACAATACATTAAAGTCAAATTCTGTGCGATACCACATGCATCATTGAAAAAATCTTTCCTTTTTGTCTAGTTTTGGGTTGCGCGCGGATTTTGTCAAAGGGTCCAAAATAGCCGTATTTGTCAGCATTGTGACGTCAAAACGAGCACGGTGACCCCCACTTTTTATTACTTTTTTATCATCTTCTTGACTTGTTACATCAGTGTACCAAGTTTCATCTACAATCTATGTTAGGTTCTTTTACTAGGGAATCACCTTAAATCTCACTGTTTTTCTAGAGGTAGGATTTCTTGGGCACGTCCAAAACAAGCACTACCTAGTCAAGTACAGGGTGCAAGGGTGTCACAAAGTTCTGGAGTGTGATTTGAACTTACACACTGATAAAATTCCCTGTATCTTCCTCTTGTCATGGCTGGGTTGTCTCTTCGATAAACCTTGGCTATGTGATACCTTTTAATACTCTTAATTTTATTCATGGCAACATATCTTGCAAATGGCACCTTGAGAGAGACTGTCAAAGAAAGTGAACAGGTACAACACAATAGATATGTAGAATGTACAACTACAAAAAACAACCCAGTAAGAAACTAACAGTCATGACAATTATTATAACCACTCTGATTAAAGTATGGTAAGTTGTCAAAATTGACTAATTTACAATTTACAGTTATTTCAGGCATGGAAAACTGTTACTGCACTAAGGGAAAATGTACCAGGAAGGTCTGAATATAAACGCACACAATTTCAAAAATGAGCTGAGTGTTTAAAATTAATCAATTTTTCATCCATCTTGGGCTTAACCACAGTGAAACAGGCTTACTGCAATGAAAATTCTTTACACAAAATTCAGGTCATATTTGGAAGGATACTGTTAAGTCGTATCTCAGGGATAAAAATTCTCCTCCTTGATCAGCCAGATCATAAATTAATTTGGAATCTTCACCATATTTTCCTGTTAATGTTTCCTACAAAGGAAAAAAAATGTGACACAAAAAAGAGTTTGACCAGAATGAACTGCTACATACGGCTGAAATTCCAGGGCTGTCATTTTGTTACGTTATTCTTTTTTTAAGTAATATTATTAAAGCAATAATTGTAGTACCGTAGCAGGGTATGAGACATTTAAGTTCTAGGATGACATCACAATACACAGAAGAGTTATGTCTGTGATCTGCAATAATTGCACCCAATGATGGCCACAGTCACCACACTAGCACACTAAACGAATCCAACAATGCCCCCACTCCCCTTATCCGAATTCCTTGTGCATAAGGAATCATTTAAACAAGTGTACTGTAACAACACTAGAAACCAACCCAGATAACTGCATCTGGCTTGGCGAAGGAGTTTGTCCCCCAGCTAAACCAGGGTTACTATGTGGTCTTGCAGTGAACCAGACATTTACAAATTGATGTAGGAATTTGCTTAACATCTTCCCACAAATATCTGGCAAAAATATGTGCAAGACCATAATCACATCATCAAGAGCTCCCAGAGAAACAAAATCTTGGACAGAATGAAACTGAACACATGCACACATGAACTTTATGAGGGAGGGGTGGGGCCCTTGGGTTTAAAAAGTGGACCCACATGAAACATGCACATGCCAGGGAACTGGCCCAACTACCAACCACAACCTGTTACCCCATAGCTATTTAGCTTATTTCTTTCTTGACGCCCTGCTTTGCTAAAATAATTTACAGTTTCCTAACATGTTTTGTTATATTCCCAGACTTCCACTCCACTAAACAGGGACTGCTATTGGTTGATTCTTGGTCACGTGGCCTTGACTAAACTCAAATGTATCTTGATCATGATACATTAAGCAAATTATGTACCCTGCTTGGGCTACATTACAACACGTGATCAAAGCATGGTGGAAAGTGGTGTGACAGAAGGGGGGAAAAACACTGCCAGTTTTCTTTTTCGTGAATGAACACAACAACTTGAACACAAACACAAAGCCTCAACCTAAAAAGCCACAATTTTTAAAGTCATCCCAGAAGAGAAACAGAAGCTAGTTGAGGAAAAAAATGCAAATATTATAAGGAAAGTACATTGTAAATCATTCATTCAGTGGTTTTAAGAATTAAATTTGTGTTGTTATAAGTACCGAGTTGACTGTTTTAGTTCACTCCGGTTATTCTTTCATTGCTGTTGAAGTGAAAGGTTGGCAATATAACAAAACACTTAATGTCAGGTCCCTCAGGAAACCAGTCACTTTTGTTTTCTCTTGACTCAGGAAAACAAAACTAACTCATGTTTCCCTTGGGAACTGACATTAAGTGTATAATGTACATCTGTACATTAAATTGTAACTTTTGTACTGTAATTAACAATCATTCCACGAGGACATGTTGGATACGAGATGATAGATAGCTAACGAGGCGCGTAGCGCCGAGTTGGCTATAATCATCTCATATCCAACAAGCGTGAGTGGAATAATTGTTTTATTAAAAACGCCCACAAAATCTCGTTGAATCTCCCGCACTAGAACAAACCGGAAAAGACAAAGGACTTCCGCCATTCACATGTCACACGTCTATCAAAACTGTCAATGCGCGAACGGACTCGCCTGGACTGCATGAATGAAAAATCAAAACATTGTAGCGATGAAGATTAGTTTTTTAAAAACTCATTGGGATTCTAGGATTTTACACAGCAGAACAGCTAAAAAAACCTGGCAGATAATGTGAAGGAAAATAATTTTTAAGTCACAGCCGTCGAAATTACTGTGAATTTGGATTTTCGGTGCAGTTATAAAAGTAAGAAAAACGGAGAAAAACTATTACCTCGGTCGCTTGTTATGAAGTTGTTTGAAGCCACAAGCTAATTTTGCTGAACGAGAAATGAAGCTGTACTGCCACCTCGATTGCTCTAGTGAATGGCTGCATAGCCTGTATTTGTAGCTGGTTAATATACTTGTGATTTATATTCTTGATGTCGGATAAACAAGCCGCAGTTATCTATCGGCGAGTGACTCGATCGGCGAATGGCTTCGCGATCATGAAGAAACAACACTTGTCTTCTTTTCGTAGCTGGATCATGAACAAACTTTCAACACTTGTGTCTTTCTTTTTTTTTTCGATGAAATTGCTGGTCAAGGAATTAAAACAATTTTTAGTTCCGAAAAAAAATGTGTTTTCATGTTTTTTGACAAACTTTCAAACAAGCACTTGTGTCAGTAAGATTTTTTTTGTTTGTTTTTGTGGTATTTTTTTTTATTTCGATGAAATTCATCATTTTAGGCCTTTTTCTTTAAAAAATAAAATTAAAACAGAAAATTTGCTTCAGCTTTGTAGTAAAAACGTTTGTTAAAAACATAAATGTGAGGATATGAGGTAATCCAAGAACTAAAAAATCTTAACTGTTAGCTTCTCAATGCACAATTGAAAATGAGTGAATTTAAGTAAAATGGCGGTTTCAGTATAAGCTTAAGCTTAAATGAAAGGCAAAGTAGCTCAGACAAAAAGCACAACAAAAAGCTTACGCCTCGTTCTGTTTATATATGCTCTCTCACCGTTTTCTTTAGACATGGTCGAAATGTTTTTAATAGCTCATAAAATACCGTTGAATAACAGCTAAGCCAATAAAAAATGCGCCAAAGAACCTCTGTGCATTATCCAATGATTCAGATCATTTTTTTTTTGAAAAATAATCTGACAATAATACAATATAATAAACTTTTTGGTAACACTCAGTATGTATATAATCATGATATTTTGATTAGTTCAAAATGGTTTCATTGTCCAATGATTCAGTTTTTAATAATCTACAATATACAATATAATAAAAAATGATCAATAGAAACCAAATATTAGCAGTAACTTTGACCACTTAACGTAAATGAAGCTCAGAAAGTGATTTCATAAATTGTACATTTGACTACTGCACCTTCATTTCAAACACTGGAGTGTCGATTTGTTCAGCACCATGTCTTTCAAAACAGCTGATGATGGCTTTGAATGCTCTCTCTCTGACAGCCATTTGTTTTGGCTCATAGTCTCGTGTTCCCTACACAAAACATTGAAAATGACAGTTCACTAAATATGCAGTACTACCCAAAAGAAAGTTGACAGTCTCAACTCAAGACTCAATTCTCGCATCTCAAAACTTGAAGAAAATAACAGTTTCAAGATGTGAGTCACAAGTCTTGAGTTTGGAGTTTCCAGTGAGGAGGGAGCCAGCTAGTTGGGCAGAAGCTATCATGGGTCTTTTTTTAAATGGTATTCTTGGCAGTGGTGGGTTTTACTTGTAGCAAAAATTTCAAGTGACTAATACTTTATTTTTAAAGCCCTCAGTGACAGTTGTCAGTGGTGTTCTTTGTTTAATACTCTGATCCTATATGATTATACTTATCCAGCACAGAAACAAGTTGATGAAACTACTAACAAAAATATTCTACACACACCACAAATCCTGTACAGGGTGTACACATGTACCTGTGTTCATAAAGGTACATGTAATGCAATGTTGTAGGTAAAATCCCTTCTCAGGTCAAATGATTGGAATTTCCTTTGTCTCCTACACAAAGTCATACACTGTAACTGAGCCTCAGATCAAACAAAGGGAATTTTGAATCAAACTAGCTTGAATACTAGTTTAACCTGAGAATAGATTTAACCCACAACATGTTACACGTACATATTCAACATAAAAACAATATTATTAATATGTGTGTATATTAAAGGGTCGTTGTCTGAAGGTCTGATACAGAGTTTATCATGGGTAAATAATTACCATAAAACCCTGCAGTATAACTTTCACAACCACTCTTCCAAACGTTATTTACAATGAAGTCCAAAAAATAAGGACTCTTGTACTATGTTAATATAAAATTAATGTTTGGGATAATAACCAAATACAACTGTACTTATAGCTTGCAGCACAGGCATTTTCTTCCGGTGTATGAATGTTTCTGCTCACAATAGTGCCATGTTGATACTCCAAAAGAGAGGGGCAAATGGGGTGAGTCAAAGGGAGCCGGGGAGGGGGCGGGGAGAGAGAAGAGAAAACGCCTGCCTGAAAACACTGTGAAATGAAAAACATCCCCTTAGTTGTGCTTGAGTGCTCTCCTGGAAATGAGTACCTGACCAACTAAAACCGAAGAACTACTGCACTGGAAGCTCCCTTCGATAAAAAAACAAACAAACAAACACATGTGCAGTGCTCAGGCAGGCAATTACATCCAGTTTTGCAAGCAATCTTGGAAAGCAAGGCCAATCTTCTTCAGAGAACCTCCTCAGGCCATCAAAATGATAAGAGTGCTTTGGGTTTGTGTTAGCCGAAATTTGTAAAGAAGTTGGACTACCGTTAGTTCAAGACTCCATGCAGCATTCTGATTGGGTCTGTAAGCCATGTGGCTGGAAAATTCACAACTTGGGCCAATTTTACCATTTCACTATTTTAAAGCTGCAATTACATCCACAGCAAGTACCCCGGTTAAGAGTGGCAAACATAACTCGTGACATGCTAGACAAAGCCAGTCTAGCATGGAGAAAATCAAAATCTCTCGGTGTCAATTTGCCGGCAGTGAAGTCACCCTCAACCCTCCAGAGCATAATCTACCCGCCAGAGAAAAAACTTATTGGAACAACCAGCATTTTGGCAAGAGGTAAAGGACACACCAACCTACCGACCCCTTTTTAGCACTGCAACCAAATCTTGTCCTGATGCCAGTGTAGAAAACACTTTGACCTGCTCAGTGCATAATACACACGACATTCCCAGCTGCTCCAATTCTAAAAGGCTTTTTTCAAGAGCAGAGTTAATATTCTAATTTCTTCCCCACTATTTCTGAATTCAGAACAATTCTTTCCTGCAGTTGTACACCAACAAAACCAAAACAAACAATATAGACTTCCATTTGATTGACAGGCATCAATCTACTTCCCTTGAGCCACACCAATCAGGAGCTCCCTTTGCCAGTGTGTAGGAGTTTCCCAACAAAAATGACGATATCGTGCAGGTGTATTTTTTACCCCCCTCCCCCATTCCCTCCTTCTCCTTAGCACCTACCCTAAGGGTTGCTATTTCTACTCTTCCCAATCTTCCTCTGTCATAAAATCTAAGATGGCAGCTACAACAATACAAACATATAACAAGCACTGCAGGCTACTGTACTTGTTACATTAACTACCTCTAAGAGCATGCAAAATCTTGTACTTTTTACATTTCAACAGATTCTGCCAATGCTGAAATAATTCTGCAAGAATTGGTACCCTGATCAAATATGGAAGGCCAAAGACACACGTCATGTACACACCACAGTAATGTATCTTAACTTTGATCAGAAAGTTTAGGTGAAATGGTTGTTCCACCAGGTATACTCAACTGTAAATATATTCCCTTCAAATATTTTCAGAATCTTTAGCACTTCCAGAAATAAAGTCAATACTTAAATAAAATTACAGCTGAAATGAAAAACAAAAACAGAAACAGGGAGAAAACTAGGGAAAGAAAGAAAGTAAAAAATAAAAGTCAGCTTCAAATTTTGCATTCTATGAAAGCCTTACTAAGAACTGTATTCTTGCACCAGGAAGGGAAATGCTAAATGTTTTGGGAAGTTTTGCTTTTTAAATGGGGGGCTACAAATACATGTAGAGCTAGTAAATGGCTCAAGCAGCAGGAAAAAGTGTTTTGAGTAACACCTCTGGGACTGAATAATAACATTTGCCATCAACAATTTTATCATCAGCATTTTTACCTTTGGTGTTTTGAGAACAAACTTCTGAGTTCCTGGGTCATCTCCAAGCTGATTTTTAAGTTCCACTAATCTTTCTCTTTCTTCTTTTATCTGTAAAAAAATAAGTAAGATATAATTGTAAAGCCTTTATTTCAAGAAAAGAAATAAAGTATGTATCAGGATATATGGTCTTCAAGAGATATCTAATAGCTTTAAAAAAATTTCTATTTATAGTTCATAACAAACTTTCACTCAACTGAAATTTTATACCTGTTTAGTTTTCTCCATGATCTATTAACAATGTTTTCTAATTAGAGTTCCCAATTAATACATATGTACCAAATAATTCAGGAATCCACCCTACTGAAGTTGTTACAAACAGCCTTGAAATAACGATAATACAAAATAAAAGGCTACCCCAGTTAAAAAATTATTTCTTTAACAACGTATGGTTTAATAATCCTGACATTTCATTGGAGTCTTTGTTCTTCATAAGGGGGAAGTGATATTACTTAGCAAAAATTACCATGTATGAAAAGATGAAAAAAATGCAGATATCAAGATATCAAGTTTTGTCGTTTACCATTAATTGATTATTAATCATCTGAAAATAGCATGGTGGTCTTTGTATAGAGTTGAATGTGAATCTAAAGCTAAAAATTATAATTTTACATGTAGGCTAGGTACTATTGATTCAAAATTACAAGCACCACTACCACTATACATATAATATTGCCATGACTGTGAGTGATACTAGTTAGTTTTGTCGAGGACTATTCAAAAGGGATGAGGCAAATTAATATTTGCTCCCTTACAGTAACCAAACATCTGAGATAGGGAATAAACAGTGATTATTGTGATCAGACTCAGGTTGAACTATAGCATCACAGCTAAAATTATATTCAGGTTAAAATTTTTTAACCTACAAGTTGATTCTCAATTTCCTTTGTTACCTAGCCCTAATTCATGAATAATTAGGGCTCGGAGACCAAGGAAATTGAGAATCAATCTAGGTTAAAATATTTCAACCTGAATTTAATTTTGACCTGTAACATATATGCCTGATCTTCCATATTATCCGGGAGTCTCCCAGAAATGGCACAAACCTCCACCCCAAGGCTGCGCTCTCAGGAAAAATGAAGGACACCCAGTGCTCTGAACCAGTAAAATCTTGGGCCCCCAGCATGTAATTTGTATCAAAAAGTAAGATTTTCTAGTTGCCTGAGAGCAAAAGTCCTCAAACCAAAAAATTTAAACCACAACATTTTCAGACACGTAAAGCCCTAGGCAGTTCTCAATATTTTCAACCCACTTCAGAAAGTTTGGATGGTGCATAACCCTTCTCGTTGTTTCATAACATAACTTTTTTATACTGCATATGGTTGTATTGTTTCAGACGTTCAGTGAAACTTTATTTGAATGTACATAAAACAACAAGCTGCCACTGACCTGGCATTCCAGACAGTGTGAACAGCGAAGAGAAGCAGCCCGCAAATATTTAGGAATGCTTAAAATATTCCTCAACAAAGACTTAGAAGACATCATAATGTCTGGAAACAAAAACCAAATATAAACTTCTCTTAATTTTATGCCAGACAAGTTGCATTTTCCTTATAATGGACTCTTTCACAAAATGGGTAATCCACATGTCATTTGCCTTATATCCCAAGGATAGGAGCCTAGGCCAACCAAGGAGACTGTAAAAGGGATGGAGCAAGGTCTTTCTTGTTTCCCTCTTCCTCACCTTCTTCTTTCACCCCAATGCCTACCCCAAGGGTTGCAATTTCTTTACACTCTTTCCAAACTTCCTCAGTGAAAGAATAAAGATGGTGCCCATAGCATTACAGACCTAAACAAGCAACATTCACTTGCCCAAAAAATACCGGTATGCCTGCGTTGCAGGCTAGTAACAAGAATGTCATGAGCTTTGAAATATTTTGAAGAAGGAAGAAGGAGCCATGGCTGAGAGGACAACAGACGTGTCCTCTATACAATATATACATTAACATGATTAACATGTAAACTGTAAGCATACAGTACAAAGGCACCACTGGCAGCCATTCTCAGTCCACTTATGAGCTTACTGTACCCACCCAACCCATGATGTGACTGAAGTGATGTGTGAAGGTTGGCCACACCACTGGGGTCTATGTCCCCTACTCTTTCTGAACAGTGGTGTGGGTTCTTTTGCCTCCCGCAAGAACCAGATCCGTTAAAGTGCTGTGAGACGGGACCTACGGTTTTTTGTCCTTATCTGAGAAGACTAGAAAGTCTAACTGTTTGCAGATGTCATTACAAAGGCAGCACTTTCTTCTCATTTATTTTAAGACCCTGAGTGCTGGTTCAGCCAGGGTTCGAACCTGCGACCTCCTGCTCAGCAGACTGATGCTCTCCCAACTGAGCTAACAAAGTGGCGGTAAACTTATTATTGAATTATGCAGATGTTGGAGGCTCTTATGAACCTCAGTCACCCTCCGATTTTGAATTGCATACACTGTATTTCTTCATATCATACTCAGCCTTCAATTATAATCTACCTAATGATGCTTTACAAATAGTTTCATTTTGACATAGCTCACTTAATGACAGCAGAGTTGATTCAGTTATAATTACCTATAGCATCTAAAATTAAATTCAGTTGTTCACTGTCTGTATTTTTTTACATGACAAAAATGCAGTTATTTATTTACTAGCAATAATTATCATTATTCTTTTTCACAACAGTAGGGAACGGCGCCTGTAGATCCGTGTCGCCCGCAAAATTGCGGGTCCCATGACTATTTGTGCGCTCACAAAGGAAGCCGACGCATGTCGCGTCCTTTGATTCAAGACTCAAGTGTTAGGGTATTGTTTCCACGATACAAAGGTAATTTAACTTAAGAAAATCTATAGATCGAAGCTTTCGCGCTACTCTCTTTTTTATAAGGAAATGCAAATGCTCAACTTGGTAAATATTTTGACTTCATAAGATATTTAACGATTTAGGCCAGCAGAATGTATAGAATTCCAGAAAAACAATTCAGGAAGCCGAACAGTTTGGAACTGCGCTACACGTTGTTTTTATCAGTATGCAAATCACCTACCCAATCACATACTTTCCATCGAACTGAAATATCCTGACATTTCTTTACCACTTTTCGATTTGATTCGTTTCATTTTATATTATTTTGTGCAAGCTGAGCTCTTTCATGAGAATTTACGCTTTTAAAAGGAAAAAACATCGAGGAAACGTTGTGTTTACAACCACGGCAATTTGTATCTATTTCGCTTCATTTACGCTTATATGCAAATTACTATTCATCCGCCGGATTTCGCTGGAGACAAAAATATCGATTTTGAATTCCCAAATGCTTGCCTTTTGGGGCACCCTTTTTATTTTGGCTATCAAGATTTTAAAAGCTAAGCTTCAGACTTTTCATTCCAACGTTTTAATGCGGGAAAGTTAGGAGAAATGCTGCAGCTGATTTAAGTCACGCAACACGCTTTAAGACCGCATAACTTGATCTTTCTGTTATCTTTTGTTCTTCTATTGTCTCCAAAACAATAACGATGTTTCACCAATTTCCACCTACAAATAATAGGACACATTAATTTTGATTGACAGAAAAATTTGCATTTACTAGCGACGCGTTTCTACAGGCGCGATTCCGTAATGATCAGGAAAAGGAACAGCACTTATTGATATCTAGTCTGTACTGAAACAACACATGCAAAAATCTACCATCAGCACATTTTCTCCCTAATGCTTCTGTGAAAGATAATAAGAAATCACTTTAGGAAGGATAAGAAAGATAACCAACAAAAATCAAAATAAAGTGAAAGAAAACTGTTTTTTTTTGTAAACGTAATAACCATTCTGTTTGACTTAATTTTTGAATGGCATGGGTTAACATATTCCCAGTCCTCAAGAGAGTCATTTCCAGGTCTCTGTCCGCAGAAGTTCAGTGGCCCGAAAACAAATAATACCCCCCTTGGATGGAACACTTTAATGTGGCACATTCTTGTGACATCCAGCGTTGTGGTTGCCTTCCGTGATTTTACAAAATAAAGAACTCCCCACCCCTTTCCTTCAAACTAACAACAATGTAGTAAAATTTCCCCTTCCCATGGGTAGAGAATCCACTCCATCTCCTTGCATTCTCTTACAAAATCCCCTATAATGACCCAGGCCAGGGTCCTACCCCTGGGACTGTTAGCTGATAACATGTGCATAAATGTAACAAAGGAACTGATTCCTAACAATACCCAAATCTACCAGCAAGAGATAGTGAAGTTGAAAAAGAAGAGGAAGTAAACATTCACTCTTTCTCACTAGATACTTTCGAATAATTATTCATATAATCATAAACTTACATTTGAGCACAGAAATTGTGGAATTATTATTGTTAATACACAATAATTGTGGAGATGTTGAAAAAGTTCTAGATAGAAATGGTTTAAGGGGTTCTATGAAAGACTCCAGATTGTCAATTGGGCTATTGAATTTAATATTGTCCCCGCTCCCCCTTGGTTGAGGACTTATCCATATTTCTTTGCCTTCACCCCTGAAGACTACGATCAAATATACCCCTGAATAATATGGGAATATAGGTGTACCCCTGGAGAATTTCATGCAGATTAAAGCTCCACCCCCAAAGAAACTATACTTTTTAACTCTACCCCCTAAAGAAATCCTCAGTTGTTATAACTTGCCCCTGATGAATTCCATGGTTCCTCAACTGGGGGTACAGGTATTTTATCCATATGGGATGGGTCAGGGGGGTAAGCTACTTCCCATACATTCTCTTAAATGAAATCCAAATGATGTTCTCACAACTTGCAAAGTGATCATCAAGGGTCTTGACAGCGGTTTTGTTTCTAATCATGCGCATGATGTCAAAACTAAAGGAACAAAACCATGGCGGTCACTGTTTCTCACTATCATATTTCGGTAATTTTCATATTTTAATTTTGTTTTGGTCTTACAGCCAGAAAAAAAAATATTCAATGGAAAGCTGTTAATAAACTTTAACTTCTTGCCAAATACTGATGCGATCTGAGTTTTAATAAGCCGATAAGAAACATAATATAATAAACTACGTGATTTGAACTACGGGTCTATTCACATGGTTGTCAGAAGAGGGATTATCGACTAAAAGGTCAGAAAACCCATCAAGACTCAAGACAAAACTCAAGAGCGGAATTCAAGAATGAAACGAGCAATCTAATAGGTTTCGAATCACCAAAAATCGACTGGACTCCGGGACCAGATTTACCTCAGAGGTTCAAGAGTTTACGACAGAAATGCGAACTTCTATTTTGATGGACCACTTAAGGCACAATCCAACGAGCTGAGATGTCGATACGTCCTTCTGTGGACCATCAAGTTACTACAGTCTAGACTTGTTCAACACATGGAACTTGAGTGGTGAAGAACAAAACAAACACGACGAATACTGGATGCGATTCGAAGAGCATGTGAAACCCCACTCCAACCACATACTTAACCGCTATTATCTCTGAAACCTGAAGCAAAACGGACGACCCCTTGATAATTTCCTGACAGCGGCCAAGCTCTTGATTCAAAACCGTGGCTATTTGTCCAAGCTCCATGATGAATTACTGCGAGATGCTCTCGACATCGTGTGAAAGAAATTTATTGCTGAAGGAAATGACCTCACACTCAAGAAACCCAGAGAAATTGCTTGCACTGACAAAGCTACCAGGCTACAGCTCCAAGCACTACACAGAGCCAAAGACAACACCAAAACCAAACAGAGAGGCCAGAGAGACAACAAAGCCCTCTAGTCTGAAATTACCTTGTTGAGGCCCATGGCGAAAAAAAACCCTTAGATCAGACTGACCACTCCATCTTTTTGTTGGATTTTCCTATTGTGAAGCCATGATAACATTCAATGAAAATTTTAGCAAGCACTGAGAGATATAAAAATAATAGTGAGTCAAAGATGATCAGTAGTGAGTGTAGTAACTACACTCAGTACGAAGGTCGTAAGTTTCATTGCTCACTCCTGGGTCAGCTAAACGCAACTGAAAACCATTTGACAAAAATACTTTATTTAAGCAGAGTAGGAGACATAAATCCAGCAAATGAGTACATTGTTAGAATTCTGTTACATTATACATCAATTAAATGCAGATTATATATAATTACAAGAAAAACACCGTAATCACATCCGGATTTACATCAGTTCTGAAACTACTAGAATGAAATCTGACCTCGCTTGTTAAGTCCACGCAAGAAGGTGTGTCAAGTTGTTGAAAGTTCATTATCAGGTAAGGTCGTGAAATCTTAATCTGTCAGGGAGAATTTCATATACCTGGCCGAAGAGAACCGATGATGTCATCTGTGGTAAGGAACCCGGTAACGATAATTTGTGTCCAGTTGTTTACAACATCCTGTCTGCAGGGCTATCAAGCTTTGAGTTTACAAAATGGCAATCCACAATGGAGAGAGACACGGTAGACCAGTTACGACCAGTGAATTTAAAGCTATACTTTATTTCACCTTCAATAATTCTGCGGCTTAGATGTAGTTAGGTATTTATTTTCACCTTTCTTTGTTTTTAAACAGCTAGGTGTATTTTTTCTGCAAAAACTTAAGACTTGTCTATCTGGCAATTGACAGCCAAAATCCAGCCGGAGATCACCTCTTTCTCAGGAGGTGAATTTCGCGACAACCCTGCTCGCCCAGCCAAAACGGTGTAATCAGAAACCTATAAACTTGATCGATAGCTCAGTATGCATTGTTGCTGGTTGCAATGAACATCACTTGCGTTTTGGTTTCCCTTGCAATTTCAGTAGCAATTGACAAACAGAATGCAAGAAAAGCAAAGAGGTTTTTTTTTTTGCAGTTATTGACTTATTTCCTCTACGGGTTCGCTTCTCGCTTCTAAAATGTTTACTTTGGGAAAAACACTGCAATTATCTGATGACCACCACACAAGGTGACCGCTTTGGAAGTTGTGAAAACATCGTTTCTCGGTCCCAGAACTCGTCTTCCCCACCTCCTCCCCCCCGGGATGGATGATGAAATACTTCAATAAATTACGTCGGCTGATATGTTGTAGCTCAAATTCTTCCAGTTTCTCTATTATTTTACTTTGTATCAAATTAGATAACATACCGACGACAAACGAAAACAAAATTAAACTGGTTTGAACAACTAAAGAGAAATTTGAACCACCATCCACGTGTAAATTAATCGATTAATCTACCCGGTAAGTCCACTTTTTGGCCATAAAACTGCACGCAGACTAAAAGTTAACTACAAAGTTACCTTGTTTTTAACTTCATCTGTCGGCTCTTTAAGTTTCAATTGTCTTAAAACATCTCCATGTTTTTTTATTTCTTGCTGGATTTCAGTCCTCGAAAATGAACTTTCCCTTGACGCCATATTGCATTGTTGGTCAGCGGCCTGTAAAACAGCGCAAAATCCTGAGGACTCCGAAGTTTACCTCTTCGGCTAGATTTTCCGAAGTTTTCCGAAGATAAGGAGCGACTTGAAGGCGGGAAAAAAATTGACCCTTCCTCTGCTTTGCTTTGTTACTTTATATCACAGTAAAATCAGAATGTAGACTCATAAAACGAGGAAGTATTTTCAAATGTGTTTTACGCCTAAAATTCAATGGACAGTGCTTCTGGTTGGTTCCTTAGTTGCGTTGGAGACATAACAGTGTGGAGGTCACGCACAGGCGATTATAATAACACAAAAGAACTATATTAGATGCCAATGTAAGCTTACTTATTTTCATTCACTGCTGTACATTTTACTTTTCAAAACACACGATCGAGGGACAGATAGCTTGAAACCAACTACAGTGATCACGACAACATCAGAAGCTTCCTTATATTAGGCAGCTCTTGGTCTTTAAATGGTGATTTGTTTGCTTCTTCATCAAAGGATCGTCTTTGGTTTAAAATATTGTTATCTGACTGTGGTTTCTCGAAACACAGTGCTAGAAAAAGTTGGATTCACCACGTTAAAAGGTTAATCTTGCAATTTACCATCCATATTATGGTGCAGCCGACGTTTTGTTCTGCACTATGTATGGTAGTCAGTTGGTTTCGCATCAACTTCTCATCAAGCAGCACAGCTGTGCGTGAAACCGAGCATTGAATTGAGTAAATACAGCTCTTGACATTAGAAACCTACTCGAAATACCTCGCTTAATCTAGAAAACGTTACTTTCGGATGTGATGTTTGCGTGAAAAACTAACGAGATAATTAAAAAGTTCAGAACAAAGTTAAAAGGAATCGAAAAGATATTAGCAACTTGCTTAACGTCAGCATGGGGGATAATACTACCAACGACAGAGTGACGATGTTAAATGAAACTAGTGATATTGTTGGCGTCCACGAAAAGAAAAAGCGGAAAAATGTCAAAAGGACAAAATCTGTGCCATCTACAAAGGAACAAGGAGATGATTACTTACGACAAGTTTCAAGCTACAGCTATCATCATGGTGACCAACCCGTTCGCCATGTACAGCTTCCTCTCGAAACCATGGGAAGTCGCGAGAAACTCATTCAGATACATGACGAGTTGCGGAGTAATCATCCTTCGGAAATAAACAAAGATGAAAAAGATATTCGGAAATTAGCCTTACATCTCGCAATAAGCAAATCATCTGAGGGAAAAAATAACAAGTTTATGCACTACGATTATATTTTAGTTCATAAATTAGGTGACACGAGAAACCTTCAAGAGAAATTGAGAAAGAAATACGAGTCTGAACTGCATGCTCAAGGGTTCAGAGTGGAGAGAAAATATACCGCAGAGAAAACATTTGTTACTTTACATTGTTCGTTTGAGAGACTTTGTGAAGAGGCAGAAAAAGTGTCATTGGAAATGCCTTTAGCTGGGGTAAGACTGCATGAATCTATACCATTTATGCTTGAAGTATGAATGTTACCTTTGGAAAACAAATGGCCATAGATAAACCAGAGGAATACTGAGATGATTAACAAATATCTTGGTCATCTTTGAGGTTAGGATGTCTCAGAAAATTAAGACCTCCTGACCTTGAAAACTTTGACCTTGAAATCTAAGACTTTGAAAAACTGTAATCTGAAAACCAAGACCTCTTGAAAATGGAACGTGAAAACTAACACCTGAATACACCTTTGCTAAAGGAGATGCGTTTTCATGCGGTTTTGAATGACGGGGACTAAGTTTTCGTGGTCTTAGTTCAGTTTTGAGGTCGTTTGATTGAGTTGGAGTGGTGAGGTTGGGTGTTAGACAAAACTTGACTGTGACATGTCACAGTCATTTTAAAGTCTTTATTTCATTCCAGTGGGTCTTTCTTAGCACCTTTCAGGAGCACCCAATGTCAATTTTCGGAAAATATCTGTTCGGAAGACGATTTGAGATCTAGAATTTTCGGAACATTTGTTGTAAAATTTCCTGCTTGCCTTCCTCTCCTAGGATTTTCAATCATCTGAAAAATGTTATAATTGCCAATTTTTAACGGATTTTTACCCTAAGGAGGTCACCTAAAATTTTCGGGAGCCTTTTCTTTGGCTGAAATTTTCAAAAAGGTAACTCTTGATCCCTATGATTTTCGGATCACTAGACTTTCAGCTGGGAAATCCGAACAGATGAAGAAATTTTAGGGGATAAAAATATGCCTATATACGTTTAACAGTGCTATGTTTAAGTGGTTTTGAACTATATTCTCGTTGGGTGTCCCTGAACTTTGGTTTCAAGCTAGAGGTTCTTGTTTTTGAGCTCTTATTAGGTCTTAGGTCTTAGTTTTTAAGACACCCCTGAGGTTTAAGCTGTCTAGTGTCAAGATGACACACACTATGGTAGATCTAGGATTGATTTTAAGGGGGTTCAAAACAACCAACCACTGAAAGGCAGAGTAGTTAAATTGGGTGCACACTTAGCTGATAAATTTGGAATGTGAGTCCTTAGAAATCCATTTTACATTATTCTGAAATAGGGGTAGAATCTTCACATTAGTTATCAAGTGACCAATGGAGTAAATATGTAATGGAAAAAACTGTTGGGGAGGGGGAGGGGCTTCATTTGGGAGGTTGTCAGGTACATTTAATAGTTTGTGTGGTTAAGTTAACCGTAGCTATATAGTCGCTGTGATAGGTAATGAACAGTTTGCAACAAAGGAGTGGCCTCGATAGCAAGGGTACTAGGGATCTGCCATATTAAGATCTGAGATAAAAACTAATAAAAAGTGGGAAAAAGACATCACTGTCCTTGTAGTAATAGTTAAATTTCAACCCTGTTTGCCGTAGAGCCTCCAGTGGCTCAGTGGTTGGAGCGTCCAAACTAGAACTTGAAGGGTCATGAGTTCAATATTCTCACCTGGAGCTCGGAATTTTTTCTGAGCTTTCTGGTATAAGAATTCTCCTTTTTCCAAATAATATAATAATAATTGCATTTGTATCCATGTATTTCTTTATTTTCAGTATGTTGTACCAGATACATCCAAAAATAGCTTGTGGAAACAATTTTGGGATCATTTTAGAACTGATGATGAAGGTAACAAAGTACTGATCATAGCGTTGCTCATAATATAATCAGGTGTGGGTCTGAGTAGTAGTATATTATGGTACAAAGTACTGATCACAGTGTTGCTCATTATGATAAAATATCAGGTGTGGGTCTGAGTAGCAGTATATTATGGTACAAAGTACTGATCACAGTGTTGCTCATAATAATATAATCAGGTGTGGGTCTGAGTAGTATTATATTATTGTACAAAGTACTGATCACAGTGTTGCTCATAATAATATAATCAGGTGTGGGTCTGAGTAGTATTATACTATTGTACATTCATGTCCGGCTGTCTTTCTAAATTCTGCAGAATCTTGGATGATTATTTATTGTGGGCTGTTAATTCTCCAATTGGCTCTCTGTCAACTTTCTATGTTTTTTCTGTTTGTTTTTGTTCTCTTTTTGCTATTTTTATTCTTGTATTTCTTTTTTATTACCACTCTATTTATTTCAATGGAGAATTGGCCACTTACAGCTATACTCTTATTTCTTGCAATATTATTATAAGCTGCTTTACATTAAGTTTGCTCTGCAGAAAGTATTATTAAGCTTATTTTCACTTTTTACGTCTCTGTACTATGTGTACAGAAAAATTGTCTTTAACAAAAGGTGAACTCCTCCATTTGCAGTTGATTTTGTCAGTGCTCCATTCTGTGTTTCAAAGTCTCAAATATATGAGGGAATAGAAAATCCTGACACATTCTTCAGGCCTGCTTTGAGATCCTTGCTGGTGAGTGTTGCAGTGTTAGTATATTAATTTTCTTCCACTAAACAATCCTTCAAACCCTTTTTGTGCATATTTAATTTAATACAGCCTCCAATGCTTAAAGCTACATGTAACAGTGGCTTGTTTGTTTAAGGTTCATGGCATTTTGACTGATGTTGATGTTAGAGACAAGGAGAGCAAGCAACTTGGTCAGAATGTACAAGGTATGTACTAAAAATAGCATAGGAAAGAAATGTTGTGTCACTTCTGTTGATTTATCAAGGCTTGAAAATGTTTCTCTAGTCTTTTCAGTCATGGGTAAGTTGACATTATGATTTCTTTGTCCAAAGCTGAGGATTTCTATCCCAACACAGTAAGTAAAGAATAACCATTTCTGATGGCCTGGGGCTAGTGAATTCTGTAAATGGGCTAGTAAATTTTCTTCTTAACTTTTTGAGCAGATGGGTAAGTAAAGTTTTTTTGGGGAATTCAAATTACAGACTATTGCTCACCTTAGAAATTCAGGTGGATTGAAAGCTGTTTTTCAAGCTGATCGGACATTAGTGGAATAATATCATAATACTTATTATTACAAATAATGAATTCATAAAGCAGATACAGACTGTAATTCACTAATTGTGTAATTAGTATTAAGCAATAATTAATATTATTAACCCATTGGCCCCCTGGAGATTTTGCCGAAAAACGCGTTTTGAAGCTAGTTGAGCGGTTTTCTGGTCACTGTTGTGCTATAAAGAGCTAAAACTTAGCACAAAGCCATTTCAGGTCATACACTTTGCGACCTTCTGATCTAGATGCAACATATTAGCTTGCGAAGTTTGTGCGGGCATGCGCAGAAAGCAAGATTTGAAGTTTTGGGGTTTAAAAGTGACACAGCAGTCTTGACTTTTACTTTTCGCTTTTCTTGCCTCATTTTTTTTCTCTTGCTGAGCATTAAGTATATTTCATTTTGGTGGGAAAAGTTTTTAGGAAAGCTTTTAGAATCTTAGGATTAGTTGAAAGGAAAGGTACACCCTGTAGGTGGGTAGTGGAACAAGATTTTCATGGAAATTTTCAGGTCAATGTTACATGGTTTTTTTTTTCCTTTTTCTACGGTGTCCTTGACTTAATTATGCTCATTCTGGTATGGTTTGAAATATCTCTTCACTGACTGCACAAGTTAGCGGACAAAGTTAATCCTTGACCATTAAAACTGATGACGTCACAAGTGGTAGAAAGGATGTGGATCCGCACAGGTGGTTACGGGCAGCTCAAGGTCAAATGGGTTAATCTTGTTTAATCAAAAACTATTTCAGGCAAGCTCAAATGACTCCCAGGCCAGTACATAGCTAGCCGTGCCATTCAGCAGCTGGGTGTGTGTGAATAAACTCACCTCTTTGTACCCAGCTGCCAACTTGTGGCTGATCTTCATAAATATCGCTGTGGTTGTAAAAGCACATTTCCTTGAAATTTTTCCCTTTTGAAAGCGTAAATTCACATGAAAGAATTCATCCTTTTCAAAATTAACATAAAATGAAATACAACAAATCGAGATGTCATTAAAAAACCACGATATTTCAGTTTGATGGAAAGTAAGCGAAAGGGTAGGTGATTTGCATACTGATAGAAACAACATTGAGCACAATTCGAAACCGTTCAACTTCCCGTTTGTTTTTCTGGCATTCTATACATTCTACTGGCTTACATCAATAAAATATTTTATAAAGTCCAAACAATTTACAAGTTGAGTGATTGCAATTCCTACATGTATAAAGCGGAGAGTAGTGTGAAAGCTTTTAATTACCTATACTTAAGTTAAATTTAACCTTTGTACCGTGGAAACAATATGCTAACACTTCAGTCTAGAGTCAAGGATGTGACATGCACAGGTATCCTTTGTGAGCATGCAAATAGTCATGGGACCCGTGATTTTACAGGTGGCACGTAACTATAGGTGGAATTCCGTAATGTGACTTCTCGCAAGTCCATGTTCAACTTATGCATGTTCAAAGTAGTGAAACAATTCATTTGTTCAGTAGATACATACACACATGAGGGATGGATGGCACTTAATATTTACTAGTGTGTTTTTAAGAATTATTTATTACTGAAATCAGTATTAAGTTATACAATTACAAGTAATTAAAACTTATATAGTGCAACTTTCCATGGCACATGATCAAATGTGCTTTTCAATAAGTTAAAAGCCTAAAAATGTACAAAATTTACAAGCTGGTAAAAAGACTTTAATAAAAAAAAAATTAATAACAATAATTATAATATTCAGGTAAAAGGTGAAAAAAAGGTACCGTGAAAAATGAAATAAAATGATAATAAATAATAAAAAATAAGATAAACAAAACAAATACTCTGCTACAAATTAAAGGTTTGTTTTAAAAGATATGTTTTCATATGGCATTTAAAATTTGAAAGAGACTTAAGATTGCATGTTTCGCTGGGTAGATTGTTCCAGAGCTTTGGGGCCACATAACAGAATGCTTTACCACCGAGTGTTGGGAGCATCTTGCCGCTTGGAACCTCAAGCATAAGTTATAAGCATTAGCATTACTATTGTATTCTCCTACCTGTGTCTCGTTTTGACATCTCAGCATCATTTATAAAGTATTCACTCTGTATTTTTAACGTTTTTCGATTGATCAGTTTCTTCGTATGTTAAGTGATGACTTTTAACCCCTTTTTCGTTCCTGACTCGAGATCACTAGTTAACGGTACCAGTTGTGCAGGTTGGTTTTGCCATTTTTTATCCTGTGATTTCACGTACGTTACGCTTGTTTTTGCATCATCGTACTTTTATTTGTCAACAAACCAAAATTATTAACCTTATGTTTATGATGCTTTTTCGTACATTCAGTGTCCGCTTATATGGTGAAACGCTTGTCTTCTTGCCGTTTCTCTGTGGTTTTATTCATCTGTAATATTAGCCTTACCTTGGTTTTCCATAAGTTGTTTTGTTCTTACGTACAAGGGTTGACAACTGATTTTACAGCGCATGTTAATTAATTTGAACCATAATTATAAGGATTGTCCTTTCTACCTTTTTAACATTTGTAAAGTATCGTTGTGGGTTAACACTGGCCAACATGCGCCTTGTCTGCGTGAAGATAATTCTGCGCAGATAACGTGACTGGCACCTACCTGTTAGTTTTTTTCAACCTCTGATCTCACATGTATCCCATATGGTGGCCATTAGAAAACCTCTCCAACCAGCCTTTACGTAGCAAAACTGAACCTACTATTTTTTGAGTATCTCAGAATGTTGTAGTTTTCTTTGATAAAGATATGTTCATTATAAAATCGCTACTAGTAGCTCTGCCCTTGATGAAGACTTTTTTTGGGGGGGAGCAGTAATGCCCTTTGGAAGATGGTATAAGCTCACTATAAACTGTAAAATGGTCTGTAACAAAAAAAAAATGCAATTTAAGAAGCAGGAGATAAAATGACTGTTACATGTAAGTCTCCTTGGACTGACACTAGTGTTCATCTTAGAGAGTCAGGTAAACTGACTAAAGAATAAGGAAACAGCTGTATTTGTTCTTCTTAGTGGCTGGGATACATGTCTGCCTCAGAGAGTAGTAACATAAAGTGACTGAAGAAAGGTCAGGATCAACTATAGGTGTATGCAGTCTTAGTTATTGAGGTGTCCATCTTAGAGAGGTGTCAGAGAAGAAGTTGAATGTACATCATTTTTGAAGTTTTCATGTTTGTAACTGCCAGATTAATTAATCTCTCTTATGTTGTTCTATTAATGCCAGGTCTGGGGTACATGCTTATTGAAGGAGCTTACACTGATGCATTTATTGTCCACGAAAAGTCTGTTTATGATTCAAAGTTTCCACTCAGTGATGCGGGTGATGACAATAGTTTTCTTCATGGTCAGGATATTGCTGATCCTCGCAAGGCCTTACAAGAGACATGGCTGAAACATTTCAGATATCAACCACTTTGGAAGATCAGGAATTATTTTGGAGAGAAAATTGCTCTTTATTTTGGGTGGCTTGGTTAGTAATGATGAGTAATCTTTGTTCAAGTTGTAGTTCCCTTATAACAAAACTGATTTTGTCTGATTATTTTTCAGGGCTGCTTACTTCTTCCCTAATCATACCTGTGTTTCTTGGTTTTGCTATTTTCCTTTGGGGTCTTAGCGTGGCGTAAGTATTTTGATGATTAGCAAAGTATTTTCCAAGAATTATGCAGGTCTTAAGGCAAGTGTTTGTTCAATGAGGATAACACCTGCCCCTGAGATCTGCATAATTCTTTACATAAATTAAGAAAGCCATTTCCAATTAATAATAATTTGTTTTATTATTCATTTAAATGATTCATACTTTAAAATAGTCATGCTTGCCTTGATTGTGATAAAGGTCTTTAAATCTTAATTTCCTCTGCAATTTCAGGATATAAAGAGATGATTAGTCTAGCCAATATTCTTCAAATAGCAGTTTTTATCCATTGAGTCCTATCTTTGCTGTTCTTGCTATGCAATTAAACAGAAGTTCAGCTGTTTCTTCTCTGCAAAACATCATTTTGAAATTAAAAGCTATTTTCTCCAGCCCTTTCAAAACTACTGAGCTAATGTAAATCTTGTTACCAGGGCTTCCCTTCTGGTGATTTATTATTCGCCTGTGCATACTATTTTCTCATAGATGAACTGACTGAACCTTCTATGCCTGTTTCTATCCTTTGCATGCCTGGGCTACACGGCTATGATCTCCTCCCATCTGCAAACTATACAGTTTTTTGATAAAGTCTTTCTTCTTGTGCTATTCTGTACCTTGCTGCTCTTATGATCTTTTGTTCAGCTACAAGAGTGGGCTACTATCCTCTTTTTTTGTTGTGGGCTGTACTTTATACAGGCGTATAACAGGTGGTTTAATTTCATACTTTGTGAAGTAATTAGACCTAATTAAAGTATGGCAGGTCACATACATTTGAAAGCATGCACATGTATGATTATACCAACCCCATACCGTAATAAGTGCATTTTTTTTCGCATTAGAATTCAAAGTATGCTTGTAGTAATAGGGGTTGTTCATCAAGTTTATAGGTGGCAAAAGTTCCCTTGATGTAACACGAGTAGGATTTGAACTACTCTATGCTTTAATAAAACGCAAGTTTAAATCTTACTGTTTGTTCCTCATAATTTTTTTACCGTAACCACAGGGGAAGAAGTTAGGACAAGACAGAGAAATAGACAAATGTTGTTGATAATCATGACTCAACAATCCCTGCAATGGAGACAAATAAAGAACTTTAGCTTGGCTATTTCCACAGAACTGGTTTAGAAACTTAGTGGCAATCCATTGCTAAATAACTTTCTTTGCAGGAAACATTTAGAGCTTCTGGGTCTGCTTCACAAGGCTTATGAAGTTCACACTAGCATTTTAGAAAAAGAAAAAGGATTCCTTTTTGGGATTTCAGTAAACAA